CCCCTTCCCCCCCCACCGACGTTGTAAAGCTCCTTTTGGACATGACAACTTGTACTTCTCATTGTTGCATCAGATCCACCTGTATCCTTAAACAACTTCTATCATCTTTTTTTACTTTTCTAAAAAATTCTGGATATTTCACTGGCACTCAATTAGAATTTGCACAGCAATCAGGAAACAAATAAACAAAAGCAAAATAGAACAAATTCACACTTTTTAAAATAAAAAGATGAATCATAAGAAAGTTGAGAGCATTTTTATGCCATCTATTTGTAACAAAGCCATGTAACTTCAAACAAAATATATCTGGCTTTCAACTAGAAGTTAAAAGGAGAGCTGCACTATAGCTATTCTTTCTTTCTTTTTTTATTCCCTAACAGCATGTGGCTTTGAATTAAAAAAAATTGAAAGAATAATTCTTACACTTGGAAGTTTCTAATAATTTTCTCTGGAAAAGTTTATACATAACACATTACTTAATACAATAGAAATCCTTCTCTAAACTTATATGTATTGAAATTTGTGAGTAAAAAGTCAAAGTTTAATTATATTAAAGAATAAAATCCATCCGTGGCATCCATCCATTAGTGAAATACCTACAGTTTAGTTAGGAAAGCCTATACTGGATATTTCCTAATTGGACTGTTAGTTTTACAAAATGATTCTTCTTTTTTAACAACTTTCCCTAAATTATTTTACATATGCAAGAATATTTAAAGTATTGGCTTTGTTTTAATAAAGACACAAACATCTACTCATTTAAAAATATCAATAAAAATTTAAAATAGTTTGCTTCTCCCTAATAAGTAATTCCATGTAACTCAATATATATAAATGCTACACATTTCACTATTTTTACTTCCAACCCAAAACCAAACAAGAATTTGGTAATTTTCTCTATCTTAAATATACTCAGGAAGTAGTTAAACCACATACTAGTTTGCATTTTGTAAAGATAAACCAAATAAAATCAGCAAAGTAAGAAATACTTTCAGCTCTGTGGATCATGATCCTTGTTATACCTGCTTAACTCTGTCTTGGGGTGTGAAAGTAGCTATAGACAATATATAAATGAACAACCCTGAGATGTGTGTGTCCCATTAAAACTATATACAAAAACGGGTGGTAGGCTGATTTTGAACCCTGTTGCTGGGCTGCTGTTTGGTGATTCCTGGTCTATACCATATATTTCATTTTCAAAAGTTAAACTATTTGTTTTCTAGGTAAAGGCCTCCCAATAAAACCATAATTTAGTTCATTTGATAAATAAGTAATAGAACATAAAGTATTGTGTATCCAAAATAGCAACAGAAAACAGCACAAAGTCCTAATCTCATAAGTTGACTTTCTTTAAAATAGTAATATTTCATATGGAAAACTAAAAAAATGAATGTTAGTAGAAATTAGTCATTATTAAAATAAGTTTAGTAACTTAAAATTAAGTTATTAAACAGGATTGGAACCTAATTAGGAAAGAATCATCTTGTTGCCCAGGAAATACATTGAAAAGTAGGTGAACACAGGCAGTTCTGGCTTTCTGTATTTATTTTTAGTATTAAGATCATGGCTAATGATAGTCACTCCAAATACAAAATTCACAAAGTCAGTTACCAACAATATCGGTACCCTTCCCTTTGATCTATAACCAGAACTATAGCTACTCAAATAGAAAAGCCATTTTCTTTTCCCATGGTATTCTAGAATTGGGCCATGACTGGTGATGTCCTGGCCAGAAGCCAGAGCTTACACTGCAATACTGAGTTTATATCCCTGGGAGACAGTACCAACTTTTAGAATAACTATCATATTCACTTGGAAAGAATCACTCAGGCTAGTTGCCTAAGAACAAATTTTTGTTTTTAAGTTTAATTTTTATTAGAATAAAGTAATTTTACAAGTGAGTTTTACTGTGATGTTTACAACATGCGTATGATTAAATTCTCCTGGTCCATGACCCTCTTTCTTCTTACTATTTATGTGTAAGCTGGTACTAGAAATTGATGTCAAGGCATGGGTAATGCCGCTTAGCTTTATTGCTCAAAATGTCACTCTACCACTTGAGCCATGCCTCCATTTCCTGCTTTTCACTGGTTAATTGGGATTTTAAAAAACCTCTTAGATTTATCTGCCCAGACTAGATTTGAACTATGATCCTCAGATCTCAGCCTCCTGAGTAGCTAAGATTATGGGTGTAAGCCACTACTGTCTGGCTATTTATCAGTCCTTCTTAACCATATTTTTAATAGTTTCCTTGTATTTTCTTGTATAATATTCATTAGTTCCTTTCCCCCTCCCTCATACCCACTTGTCCCCCATTTCCAAAAAAAATCTTCTAATTATAATCAGACAAGACCAAAACTTCAAACTGCTGACGAATCGTCAATTAGGAAGCTTAAAAAAATAGGTTAGCTATGACTGCAATAGTCAAAGAGACCCAAGGTACTTTTCAAGGTTCAGCTGAGGCGTTTTGGAGCTGAGAATGAGGCTTGTGGTATTGTTTATCAATAAACAACTAGAATCTATAGTGCAAATATTAGGGCCAGACTGAGAGGTGAACTAAAAACTTAGAGACTGAAGATAGATTAAATACTTACTATTTACTTCTCCCTTTATTGAACAAGACTAGGATTTAGGGAATACAAAAAAGGAAAAAAAAGTCTTTGCACAAATACTTAGTAATGGTCATGAAAATAGCAGTCTAGACTTATATTTACACAGATAGTTAGATATTTGCTTCT